CTCTCCTCTCAGCATGTACTCGGGCGACATATACCCGAAAGTGCCGCCGATGTGAGAGGTCAGCACGACGTGGTCATGTCCTGTGTCTAACACCCTCTCCCCGATGGCTGCTGATCCGAAATCCGCAACGACGACGTGAAGCTTCTCGCCAGATCCCTCGCCGAGCAGAATGTTGCTGCTCTTTACGTCACGATGGATAATGGGGGGCCTGGCGAAGTCGTGAAGGTAGCCGAGCCCCTTGGCAATCTGGAAGGCGATGCTCATGCGCTCCAGAAGCGTCAGCGGAGGGGATGGATTCTCGACGCTTTGGTCCGTGTCCGGCTCTTTCGCATCCCTCCCACTGACGGCCTTGGGAAATAGCCGCCCGTGCAGGCTGTGTCCTCTGAAGAACGGGTACACCAAGATGCAGTGATCGGCCGCGACGCAGTACCCGACTAGCTGTACGAGGTTAGCATGATTGAGGCCGCTGAGGGTGTTCACCTCGGCCACAAACTGGCTCCGTTTGATGTCCGTTAGCTTGCCGTCGAGCGAGCCTCTGTAAACCTTCCCAAACGCTCCTCTCTCCCCGATTCTTCGACCCTCGTTGAACTTGTCCGTACATTCCGACAGGATTCTGAAAGGCAACTGCTTGACCCGGGACGSCATAATTCCCCACGCGTCCAACGCTTCATTTTCCATTAAAGATGAAGTCGCTTGTTCACCGCCTTCCAGGGGACGTTCCGGACCAGCTGGTCGTCGGCGCGCTCTCCGCCATAGGCAAATCAAGCTGGCAATGACTACCGTGGCGACCACTGTGCCAGCCACCACAGCGGTTACCAGAACAGTGATGACAGGTCCCGATGCAGGGGGATTGCTTGGTTTTGATTCTACGGCACCTTCAGCTGCGGGCGGAATGCTTGGTTTTGATTCTACGGCATATTCAGCTGCGGGCGGAATGCTTGGTTCCACTTCTAATACACAGCCTCTGCCAGAACTGTTCAACTGCACTCCAAAAAGTTTCCCGTCCACAGAGCCCAAGTACAAGTATGCGTCCTCCCCCACGTCATTGACCATCAATGCCAATCCACTAAATGTACCCTATGGGTACTGCAACTCAAAAAGGGCATTTGCTACCTGAGAGCATTGTGTGCGGACGTCCGCAATATAAAGCACATTCCCTACGGTAAAAAAGAGATGACACCCGTCTCGAGTGACCACAACATCATCCCTACGTCCCGTTGTGAATACAAAATTTGTATATAGCAGTGTGAGTCCGGTCCCCTCGATGAACGGGTGAAACCCGAACAGCTGCGGCCCATCTATCTGCGAAAAGTAAAGGCAACTGTTCACAAAGCTTTGAGATCGGAATATGGCGTCAAAAACTTGATCTCGATCTATGTGTCTACGCGAAGATTCATACGGAAGTCCCGAGCTATCGACCCGAATATATTCGAATCCAGGGTTACCGCCCCTACCATAAACCAGACGCTCCCCGGAAGGGTCCAAACAGATTTTGGTAATATCCTTAAAAAAAGACGAGGTGGAAGAAAGACGGGAGGAGTCAGAAACAGACAAGGACGTGATGCTGCGACGGACAAAGCCGAAGTAATGGTAGGCTACGCTCAAGATGAGATGGGAACCATCTTTCGAAAGGGCCATCCCCATCACGTAAGCCGTCGAATTCGGCCGTTCTGCAATTCTCGACCCGTTCCGCTGTTCGTACGACCACAAGTAGGTTAATAATGTTGATTCGTCATCCGCCGAGTCCGGTCCCTGGGTTGCCCTCGATAAGTTGGCTTTTCTGATCGACGTAACGCCGTTGTTTGAGTTGCTGCAGGTCTGCTCGAGGACATAGTACAGCCCTTTCTGAGGCGAAACCACCAGGTTCGCGATTACAGACTGGCAATGCTGTGTCGGGGATGGATGTGAAGCAACGACCCGTACCGAGTCCTCGATCAAGAGTCGGCCGTCCGGTGGTGACAACCATGACAATGGAAGAGATGGCGGGGCTGCCGAAGTGGGCGCCTGCAGAAGGCGACCAACCACGTGCGCATCGGAATTCGAAATCACAGCCAACGGTGAGAATCTGCAGAAGCTGCGGAACATGGCAGCTAAGATCAGGAAAAAGGAGAAGAGGAATACGCGCACCACGAGGAACGCACGTGTCGACTTCTGATGTCACAGAATGCCGCACGGACGTTCCTTCTCTCGCGAAAACGCATCGGCTTCATCAACCAGCAAGGCGTCATCACACTAGTACATGGAAGGTGAAAAAAATAAAATAAAGAAGTCTACTACACTGAAAAGGAACGGGGAAAACCACCCTACGCAGGGGGGCTTTATTACGTATTAGCTGGCGGGGATGGGGGGCAAGCCACCACATCAAATCACATCACCATGCACAATCCCGAGCCGTCCCGCTATCAGTGGTGCACACATGGTAGCGGTAAACGAGCTGAAGGGCTGTTGTGCCCTGAGCCGTTAATTGCAAAACTGGCCCATGAGCCCTTGATTGCCACGCACCAGCGACTCAGCCAGTGGAAGTAGGCTGTTTGTTAAAAAAAAAAGAAAAAAAGTTGACACGAGCTGATTAATGAGGGATCCGCGTTCTTGCCGAGCACTGTTTATTGAGGAATAAACGTTCTTCCCCGCCCGGCCGTTGATCATGGTCCCACTGTAATGCGGCTGGTCACGGTGACGTGGAAATATTACGCGTCAGCTTCCCTGCCGCGGGAAACTGGGCATGACAAGTGGCAGAGATAAGTTCTTCGTCGATACAAGGGCCTCGCCACACCTTTCTTGAAACGGGAGTTTTTTTCAAGAGCTGTCAGACGTTCTCAAGAGTTGGGTTTTCGAGAGTTTCGGGCCCCTCGCCACACAGCACTCTTGAAAGGGCGATGGTGTTGGACAAAGAATGAAAAACGACAGTCGTACAGCTTTGTTTGGGTTTTCGAGAGTCTCGGGCCCCTCGCCACACAGCACTCTCGAAAGGGCGATGGTGTTGGACAAAGAATGTAAAACGACAGTCGTACAGCTTTGTTTTTTCCGAATGGCCTCAGGATAAAGACGTTTCGGAGTTTCGAGAGCTACTCTTGAAACGACGTTCTGACAAGCAAAGACGTTTCGGAGTTTCGAGAGCTACTCTTGAAACGACGTTCTGACAACTCTCGAAAGAGTTTTCCCGCTACAACTCTCAGGGCCTCGCCACACCACTCTCGAAACGCGAAAATTTTTCGAGAGTTGTCAGACTTTTTCAAGAGTAGAGTTTTCGAGAGTTGAGGCGCCTTCGCCACACAGCACTCTCGAAAGCGTGATGGTGTTGGACAAACGATGGAAAACGACAGTCCCGCAGCTTTGTTTTTTCCGAATGGCGTCACTATAACGGCCTGACAACTCTCGAAAATCAAGGGCCCGTTGAGTGCCCTCGGGAGGACGCTTAGAGCGCTGCTGCAGGCTGGGCGTGGACGGCGTTTCGAGAGCTAGGGCCTCGCCACATTACTCCCGACTTGGCCATTTTCGGGAGTGCAGCATCGCCACACCAGCTCCCGAGTTCAAGCTGTCAGATTGAATTCGGGAGCTGTCAGAATGTGCCTCCCGAGAGCACTCCCGCAAAGGTTTTTTTTCGAGAGACCTCCTTCGCTCCTCCGAGTTTCATCCCAGATTCGGGAGTGGAGCCGGAAGGGACAAACGACTTCTGCCAGACTGCTTCACACTGATCCTGTCCATATGTGGCAAATGACATTTTCAGAATTTGAGCGCGGCCGGTTTACGAGTGTAGTGTGGCGAAAGGCACTCCCGAGCAGGTTTTCGCTTCCGGGAGCACTCCCGAAAATTTTCCCAAGTCGGGTGTGGTGTGGCGAGGCCCCTACTCTCGAAACGAGGTTCTGACAACTCTCGGAAGAGTTTTCGGGCTACAACTCTCAAGTGGCTGTGTGGCGACGGCTCCAACTCTTGAAAACCGGGTTTCAAGAGTGGTTTGGGGAGGCCCTCAAGTGGCTGTGTGGGGGCGCGTTCAAACAACTCTTGAAACCGCGTTTTCAAGGGCTAAGCCACACCACTCTCGAATCTCGATAATTCGTGAGTCGGGCACCGCCACACAGCATCTCTCGAAAAAAAAACTCGAAACTGTTCGAGAGCTGTCGGAAAGGCAGTTTCGAGCGCCTTCTCGAAACGATGTTTTCGCCCAGCTTGGAGTTTTCGTGATACCGGCCGCCCGCGCTCGAGTTCGAGCGCCCATTTTCGAGAGTTGTCAGGCCGTTTTCTCGTGATACCGCCTGTGTGCGCTCAAGGTCGACCATTTCGAGAGGCCGGTCTAGTGTGCTATGTGGCGAAGGGCCATTTTCTCTCGAAAACCGGCCTCTCAAAAAATCCTGACAGCTCTCGAATATTTTCGAGATTCGAGAGTGGTGTGGCGAGGCCCTAAAATGGCCAACAGGCTGTGCATTATTTCTACCAGCAGAGATAGACTGCCGCGGCTTGGGATAATTGGTAGAAAGAGCCTGGTGTGGCGAGGCCCTAAAATGGCCAACAGGCCGTGCATTATTTCTACCAGCAGAGATAGACTGCCGCGGCTTGGGATAATTGGTAGAAAGAGCCCACGCCAAAGAACCTAACTCAGTGGGTACACCATTGAACTGTTGAAATACAGACCTGTGTTTGAATCCAAATGATGGAACTCGATGAGTAAAACCAAATATTTCTGAATTGCCTGGGACCGGTCAGCTTAAACCACCGGTCCCCCCGCCACAGAAAACCTGTGGTCCCGGCGAGTTAGGGGCGTGCTTTTCGGCAGGTAGCCACCCGTAACTCACCGATTTACCACACTCCCAGTCAAGTAGACCAAGGCCCCACGCTGCAGACGGCGGACGATGCCGGATTCCATCGACGGCCGTCGCGACGTGAGTCCGGTCCAGTGTTCGGGGCGCCGCCTAGCCTCTATCGGACTTCGTAGCGTTGGCGGGAAATAAGGGCCGAAGGCAAAAAAAAAACAAAAAAGAACAAAAAATTGGCGGCCGTGCGAATTTCTTTTTCTTTTTCCCGTTATTACCGTTGTGCCTGAGCGGTAGATATAGGCGAATGTGAAAACACGTTCCGAACGCCGTCTTTTTCGGTCCATTGTGTAGGGTTTCCGTTCGGCTTGCCCGAAACGACCTCCGTTCGGGATCATGCACGGCAGTCCGCCATCGCCACGAACCCCGAACGGAAACTCAGCACGCTTCCTCTCTTCTTTCCCTCCACCGTCATACCCAGCCCTCGAGCGCCCGCATTCTGCAGCGAACCCGACTGTGCCGTGGCCATCATTGCAATGCGGCGGGCAGATAGCATTGCTGCGGGTTGCGTTGAAGCCTTCGTGCGCGGTAGTGCGTGTTTGTTTAAGGTTCGTTTATGGTGCTCAGTGTCACTGTCGCGTGCTGACATAGCCGCCTCTTCTAAGTTTCGCCATCCGTTGCACCTCCTGCGTGCACCTCGTGTGCCAAGCGCAAACGTTTGTCACAACGCGAGACACAGTACAGGCGACATTGAAGTCACCTGCACCGGCTGTGTGTGCTTGTGCACGTGTGTTGTTGTGTGTCCGTCGCTGTGCTGCCTCGTCCTTCGGCCGATTCGGTTGTGCGCATGCGCTCGCGCGTTTGGAGTTGTGTCGCCCGTTTGTGTTCCTCCACGTGGGCGCAGGTTTGTGTAAGTGAGAGTGTGGTCGTGTGGGTGTGCGTGCGTGATCATGTGCGTTCTTTTTTGTGTGCTGCGGACCCAGTTTGGTGTTGAATTGGTTTTATTTCTTTTTGGTTTTTGTTTGCATACATTTTCCGTTCTTTTTTTCTTTACTTCGTACAATACACGTGTCACTTCCTTTACGCCGCTTCTTCATCCTTTATGCGGGCAAATTTGTATTTTTTTTCTCATGTTCTTCTTCTTCTTCTTCCTCTCTTCTACTTCTTCTTCTTCTTCTTCTCGGTCGCGACCCTCTGTTCTCATATCGGTCGTGATGGGGGACTGCGCATTTGCGACTCTGAAGTGTGCATGTGGAGAAGTAATGAAACACATAGTTGACCTTTGTGCGAGAAGCCGTGCACGACTGCTGTTTACAGTTTTTAGTTTTCACTTTCTTTTTTTTTCATCTTCTTCGTCTTTTTTTTTTTTTTTTTTTTTTTTTTTTTTTTTTTTTTTTTTTTTTTTTTTTTTTTTTTTTTTTTTCTTCTTCTTCATC